GGGCCGGGAGGTCACTGCATGAGTCTGTATCTGCCAAAACAACAAGGAGTCCTGTGGCACCTTGAAGTTTAACAGATTTCTCCTGCATATATATGCCTGCCTCTGTGATTTCCCCTCCATGCATCTGAGGAAGTGAGTTTTTGCCCACGAAAGCTGATGCCTGACTAAATCTATTAGGCTTTAAGGTGCCACAGGACTCCTCATTCTAAGAGCAGCATACTTTCCTGAACAGAGGCCTTATCTTCTTTCTACCACAGAAATTACAGGGCAAGAGGGACCATGAGGCAGGACTTAGACCATCCCTGACATGTTTGTCTAACCTGTTCTTAAATTCCTCCAGGAACAGGGATTCCACAACCGCCCTATGCAGCCAGTTCCAGTGGGTAACAAGTTAGAATTACAAGTTTTTCCTAAGAGCCCATCTGAACCTCCCTTGCTACATACTAAATCAATGATTTCTTGCCCTATCTCCAGTGGACATGGAAAACAACTGATCACCAATTCCTTTAGTAATAGAGATGTAGCCGTGTTAGTCTGGGGTAGTTGAAACAAAAAACAGGAGGATGTAGCACTTTCAAGACTAACAAGATGGTTTATTAGATGATGAGCTTTCGTGGGCCAGACCCACTTCCTCAGATCAAATAGTGGAAGAAAATTGGCACAACCATATATACCAAAGGATACAATTGAAAAAAGTGAACACATAAAAAGGACAACTCAACAAAGGAGGTGATTAGCTCACAGACATTTACCTCCCCCACTCATCCCCCCTCTGTTCTGAAATTTGATTTGTCCTTTTGATGTGTGTTCACTTTTTTCAATTGTATCCTTTGGTATATATGGTTGTGCCAATTTTCTTCCACTATTTGATCTGAGGAAGTGGGTCTGGCCCACGAAAGCTCATCATCTAATAAACCATCTTGTTAGTCTCGAAAGTGCTGCATCCTCCTGTTTTTTGTTTCAATTTCTTTACAACACCAGTTACTTCTCATGCAGCGGCAGCAGCTGGGAACTGTCAATGAATCTTGCTGACCCCTGCAGGGTTCTTGTTCCTTTCGCCCCGCCCGGCTGCTCCGGGTAAAGCTGTGCCGCAGGGTAAGCGCTGTCCTGGGGCAGGTTGAGGGAGAGGGCAGCGCCTCCCTTCGCTCAGGGGGGTCTCACGGGCCAAATCCTTCCTTCTCGTGCCAGACCCGGGAAAAGCCCGGATCGACACAGTCCACGGCTCCCCCCCAGCTTCCTAGCAGGCAACTTCCCTCCTGCTGGGCTTTCAAGGGCCCCTCGGGCGCTCTCCGAACCAGCTCCAGCCCGCCCCGGCGAGAGGCCAGCGAAGCGTCCGGGGGCACAGAGCTCCGAGCCCCGCAGCCCCGCACGCGGGGGG